TATATATATATATATAATATTATATTTTTTGGTGACTTAAATATTTTATAGTAAAATTAATTGTTGCACGTAAATATTCTATAATTAAATCAACAAGTTGAAAATGAAAAGGATATTTAAGAAACATAAAAGCATAGCATATGTTTCTTATATGGATTCAATTGTTATAAAATGTAATTTCTGAGATCTTTTTTACAAATATTGACATTTTTTATATAATATTTTTTATTTCAATATTGTACTATATGATAAGAATTTACTTAATTTCGTTATACTCACTTCAATATCATCTTTCTCAATTCTCCGATCGTCGGATTATATTCTCTGTCCTCTCTGCTAATTATTGCCACTCCTTCATCAACGTTTACTGCATACCCGTTCACTATCAAGTCCATCAAATCCGAGAAATCATCATGCTTTTTTATTGATGACAATGACATTACTCCGCTTTTCTTTGATTTTTCAATAATGGGCGTTACGTCATTATTAGCCTGTTCGCGACTGCCGTTACCTCGTTGAAGAAATTTCCGACGGAAATTGTTGTAAACGGTATCAGTCTCCGGCGGATCACCGATTCGGACTCGAGCATGGCTGGGATTCAAATGATGGCCACTGTAGCCCAAGTCCATCTGTAAATCCATCACTAACAATAACGTGAACACGATGGCGAGTGCACTCAAACATAGAACCAACTTGTCACGAATACGAATAAGTCTAACATTTAGTCTCATTTTAGTATTTTTATTGGGCTTCTTGCTGATCGTTCTTCTATGTATCTTCTCTTTCTCCAATAATTTTTGCTCAATTAATGGCAACTGCGAATTATCCGATTGACAATATATAAAAATGATTTTTTAATCAATCATTGCTTATTTAAAACTTCAAGATTATCGATTTTTTTAAATGTGTGAGCATATATCTTAACGGATGAATTTTTTAAAATTTTTTCTGAATTTTTTATCTTTGTAATCGAATTCTTTATCTTATTAAGTAGGTTCATTAAGATGCTTTTTTTTCATGATCCGTTTTAAAATATACTATTAATAGTAATTGTAAATTTATAGTATATATTACCAAATTGATGATTTATAAGGAACAATTCAAAGGGGTTTTGTAAACTTCTTTGAATTAATTGTTGATGATATGAAATTTCAAGGTCTATTATCTTCAAGATAAGCAAATTATTAATATCTTTTTTTGTAACTTGATTTGTCAAGATCTCTTCAGAAATCTTTTATCTTAATAATTGATTCTTTCAATATTTTTTCGAATTCTTACACTTTGATTTGATATTTCAAGTTTTCACCAAAATCTTTTTCCTTATATATATAGATGGTTAACGAATTCTTCGGGCTTCTCTTAGAATATTTTTCAAAATTCGAACATTCTGTCACACTTTCAATGGATTCCACGATGGAGTCAGCTAGTAAAACTTTTTCGGAAATGTCTATTAGTATTTATGTTCAAAATAAAAAAAAATCTTGCAGATTTTAATATGTTCTTCTGGTGTTTCCGCGATCAACTGATGCTTCGCATAGTGATTTGGAATCATAAATTTATATTTCACGATCGAATCGCATTTATCAGCTGACCCGCTGTTATCGAATCCCGTTGACTCTTGACCCTGCCAGTCCTCTTCCAGTGGAGGTGATAGCTTGACTTTGCAAATACTATTGTTTCCTTTTCGCGCTTTCTTCCCAAATCCCTGAAGAGCTTGCTGAATATCCTTTGGAAGATAGCGTTTATGAACGATAGATTGATAAGGGAGAGGTATTGAATCTCTCGTAATTTGTTGAAGTCTTAAGGAAAGGATGGATGCTGCTTGATCATCAGTAATAATTAACAGTTTTCTTTTCACGAAAAAATTGTTCTAGATGATTCTTCTTCTTGTTGTAATAGCTCTTCCTTTTCCTTGATTGAAAAAATATATCTTTCACTTCAAAAAAAATGTTTTTCCGACCAAGAAAAATTATTCTGAACAATGTTTTTCGTTAATTGCTTTTTCAGAAATGCCTTGTCCTTCTTTAGAAAAAGAAATATCTTGCTTAGCTAAAAAAAAGGCTTTCCTAGGAGAATAAGGGCTCAACAAATTTTCTGAAATGCCCCTTTCTATTAACTATGATTGTGAAATTACAGGAATATCTTTCTCTTTTTCAACTAAAGATGTAAGATTCTTCTAGAAAAGAGTCATTTTGAATAATTCTTATTAACTGTAATTCTGGATCATTAGGAATGTCTTTTCTCTGTGAATTTTTCTAAAGAATTTTTGGGTGCTAATTGTGGAGTTTTACGAAAATCTTTCTCTATTAAAATATGTTTTCTTCAAAGACACTCTTTGATAATTTTAAATCCTTTTGTAAGTTTATTTTCGTTAATTGTATTAGTAAACCAATTGAAATTTTTTTTTGCTAATAAATTGCCGACCATACTTTGATTTATTAAATATTGACTCTTTTTGATATTATTTCTTGTCAGCCATGCATTTTTTTGAATGTATTTCTTTAAGAATAATTTAGTTTTTTCAATATTTTTCATTGGAAAATCTCATTAGATATATTCCTTTGGATATCCTTTGGTGACGATAAATCTTTCTTAACATATTTTTCTGTCAATTATTTTTTACAATCTGTTTTCATCAACAAATATTTTTCTGCATTCTTCTTTGACAACAGAAGATTTTTATTAACGTCTTTATTGGTCCCCTCGTCCTTCAATAAAGAATCATGATGATTATTTCTTTTCTGTTGTATTTTTCTGATCAAATATTTTAACTGGTTTTTCTCCTTCAGCTAATAATTCTTCTTCTTGAATATTTTTGTTCCATTAATAATGAACTGTCCTCAATATCTTCTTGCAACAATCATGAGTTTTCCTGTATATTCTTCACTAGCTCTGGACTCTTACAATTTCTTTTAGCTTTCTTTTGAATATTTTTCTTTTAAATATCTTCCTCTAAATTTTTTCTTATATTTTCTTTTTGTAATATGAAACTTTGCTGATTGTTTGTATTGTCCAATAATGCTTTCTTTAAATATTGTCCCTCAATGACAAAAACTCTTCTTGAATATCTTTCTTCACATCTAGATACCGCTCGGTATTTCTCTTCACCGGGATAGATCTTTAATAGCAATCTATCATTTTATTTTTCGTCATCTTTCTTGAATACTTTCTTTAAAAAGCTTTTCGTCCTTTTAAGTCTTCCAACATAATCTATTGTTAATCAATCGTCAATCGATAATTCAAAGGATGTGTCTGTTATTATCTTTCTAAAGTTCTTTGACTCCTTGTTGTCATTGTTTTCATTTTCAAATTTTCTTTTCAATCTATATTCTTCGCATTTTAAATTCAATTTACATTTAAATTTTTCCTGTGACTTTCTACGATTGTATGCGTTATCTATATATATCGAGCGGTCGACAGTTATCGTGTTGCTGCAACTTGCACTTACGAAACATCTCCCATCGGCCAGAGCTCGGGATATTCACAAAGAAAAACTAAACATTACAATATATTGGCGTATTATTATTTTGCAAGCACAGATTTTTAAAACTGGTCACTCGAGGCACTTTTACCGTGCTTTAAGCACTCACGAAAAAATATGCCAAAGGAATATATCATATAAATAATTAAACGGTTAATTAAAAAATTAACTGACTTTCAAGAAAAGTACGTGACACCGCGACACTGCGTTCTCACCGTCACATCACCTAAAACAAAAAAAGAATACATTATTGCTATATGAAAAATTATATAAAAATTAATATATATAATAAATAATTTAACAAAAAAAAAGAAATTATTTCTTATAATATTTACAATACAATTTTTAAATTGCAAAATACTCTATCACGTTAATTTTGAGAATTTGAAATTATAATTATAAATTTTGAAATAAAATAAAACTTTTCCACATGTATAAATCATAGTTATAGCATGATAAGTATTAGGTATAGTAAAAAGAAATCCATTATTTTTTCAATAGATGTCTTTAATAATCTGTATCACGCGTAGACGAGATACAGATTACCACCTAATATTATACTAAAAAATTAAAATACCTTTTTTATAACTTTAGCCTCAAATTTTTCAAAATTTTATTAAAAATACTTTAAAAGTCAAGTCAAAATCTTTTTAATTATGCATCATAGGAAAAAATATTTTAAATGAATATCATCAAATTTAAAGAAACCTACCAAAAACTGCGAACATTTACATTATTATTTTATTAAAAAATTTAGAATTGTTTCTTTTGCTTTTTTTTTTAACGATCAAAATAATATCCTGTCTGCTACTCAAAAAAATCTCAATGCCGCGCGCCGTTTCAAAGGTTATTGCAAAGCGTCCCGCTTTTCACGCCGTCTTTTTTTACTGTTATATTAAAACAATCCATACCAATTTTCATTAAATCCAAATAAAACCTACCACGATTTTCATATGAAAATCAATATAAAAATCGGTTATACAATTACTTTTAAATACATGTCAACGGTCGTTAGCCGTTCTTGCAAACGGCTGCCTGAGTGCACTGAATCCGTTGAACCTCGGGCCCTTCTCAATAGATTAAAAAATTTGTCTTATTGTTTTTGATAATTTTAAATAGAAAATCTTGTAAAACTTTACTTAAAATACTTTGTACACATAATTTTTATTCAAAATTTCTCGAAAAGAAAATGTCTATGGTTTAACTAAAATTTTTTTTATTATACAATAATAATGTGTGCATGCTGATTACTGATGTATTGCATTGCGATACATCGTCGTGATTATATGATGAACGGAGCATGTAATTCAAGCCGATAATAAGACTAGCCAGCGCTATTTTTACGACGACGCGCAGCAGCATTCGCCGCTTTTATATCATTCTATCATCGTTATTATCATATATGTTGTACTTGCTATTTTGATACTTATATCGTGCTAAATAACATACAAAATCGAGTATATATACAAATAATATAGCGTTACGTAACCACTTGTTTTACTCTTGCTGCAATCACTTGTTTTTTTCCTTTATTTAGAATAATAATTAACTAAGTTTTACATATATCCGTATGTATAATCATATATCATCTAAATTACATCTACATATATGTATCTAATACGTAATTTGCAACAATAAATGCTTATATTAACTGTATTTTATCTAATCTAAATATTTTTATAATTATTTTACGAAATAGAATAAATGAAATTATTTACTCTTTATACGTATATAGATAAATAATGTTACTAAAATATTTTGTAAATAAATACTATAATAGTATTATAGACGCGATAAAATGAATAATATAATAATTCCGTGATTTTAATAATTTACTTAATAATATTAATAACATTGGATCGTGTGTTTTCGCATTTGTCAGTAGAATTTCAATTCTCCTAATTGCTAATTAATTAGCGAACGCTAATGAGAGGCAAAAGGACCGGAAACCTCAATATCATCAAGAGCTAGTCATGTTATTTAAAAAACGCAATAACGTTTTCCATGTAGATAAATAAATGGAGTTTTCAAATCCCACGCGCACTTTTCTTCCACGCGGAGGAACATTAATGATCGGATATGAGTATATACGGTATAATCTTTATTATATCGGAATCGGAGGACACGCAGAATTTCAATGGCTTCAATTCCGGGGCAACAACCAGTCGGCTTTTATAACGAGATCTTGGTTCGCATTACGCGATATAAGTATCTGTTCAGATCACGGATTCCGAAGAAACGATCGTTCAAAGATTGCCAATCGCTTCGATAAATAATATCAATTTAGAGGTAACTAATTATTTTCCAAACGTGAACACACGCGCGGTTTTATCCCTTTCACACCATCATTCTATTAAAAATTATTATGCACATTTTCTAGATAATATTTACAAAAAAAATCATTATATCAATATAT